GAAACTCGGGTAACTTTCACCAGCTCTATTACCTTTTGCGTAAAGCAGCTGGCAAATATAAACCGCCTTGCACTACAGTTCGGGATAAGTCGGGTCAAGTGATAACTGATATTGCTGAAAAAATCGATCGGTGGCTAGAGCACTTCAATGGGCCTGGAACCGCCTATACGTTCACCTGCGAGCCTACAGCTATCAACTGGAATTCCATACGATAGTGGCTGCGAGCCACCTACGAGATCTGAACTGGAATCGGTATTCCAACGACTGAACGTTCGGAAGACTTCGGGTGAAGATGTTATCCCGTCAGAAGCCCACAAAACTAATTGTTCTGCTTTGACGGACTCACTACACCGACTTTACTTGATTATATGGACTACTGAAATCATTTCCCCCTGATTGGTCACCGTCCTTTACCTTACCGATACCGAAGCGCGGTTACATGCCATCATGCTCAAATTACCGCGGTATTAGCCTTATAGATATAGCCGCAAAAGTGTTTGCGACCATCCTTCTCCGGAGATTTTCGGCTGAGCACAATCCTCGCTCTCGTTCTAACGAAGGAGGTTTCGTCTACCTAGAGGATTATTGAACAAATCTTCATTCAAAGCCGCATACTGGAGCACAGACATCCCCATCGACAGGTCACCACCGCCTGTTTCGTTGACTTCAGGACCGCTTTTTGATTCTATCACGCTTGCTATTGATGCAGTGCAATTCCTCAACTATCGCTTTACACGGATGCCTTGCGTCTGGTAGCCAAAGGAAAACAACAACAAGGCCATGAAAGGGAAATCTATTACCTTGTCTTAGTACATTTACTTTAAACGCAAGCGATGCCTTACATAATTTGCTTATCTCCTACAAATACGGCCGTTCGTGAGACCCTCATTGGCAAACGCCTCCAACCGCTGTTCGGATTCGCGGGTTTCTTCAGCTTTCCTGCTATCTTATATCCGTCGTCTTCGATGTGGCCATCTTTTCCTGCTCCCCTGGGGCATCCTTTGTTCCGCCTCC